CTGATGACAAAACTGATGAGGCTACAAGAAATAGAAGCGACCAGAGAGCCTTAACCAAAATAGGTTTAATGGTTATGCCTTGTTGTTATCCTCATATTAGGAGTTGCAAAACTGCTAAGGACATGTGGGGGAATTTAGAAAAAGCTTTTGAGGATAAAGGCTTAAATAGACGAGTTCGTTTGCTTCGTTCAATGTGCTCATTGAGATTAGAACATTTCACGTCTATGGAAACTTACGTGAATGAGTTTATGTCTATTCAAATGGCTCTTGCTAGTATGGAAAAGCCCGTAGAAGACGAGTTTCTTGGTGCTGCACTGTTAGCTGGTCTACCTTCTGATTATGACCCTATGATTATGGCAATAGAGAACTCAGGAGCTAAAATAACGAGTGATTTTGTAAAAACTAAGTTGCTTCAAGACACTCATTGGGACAATAAACAAAATAATTCTGAATCTGCGATGGTGAGCAAGTTTAAGCCTAATAAGAAGAACCAAGGAAATATTAAATGTTGGGGGTGTGGTGAAGTTGGACATGTAAGGCCCAATTGTCCCAAGAAAAGGGCATCGGTTACTAAGCCAGACGGAGAAAAATCAAATGAGCAAAAATCTCTAGTAGCGGCATTTTGCGTTAAAGTCTCCAGCGGCGATTGGTTTGTTGATTCCGGTGCTTCCGCCCATATGACTTTCCGCAAAGATTGGTTTTCTGATTTTAACAACTGTACAATGAATAATATTGAAGTTACTGTTGCAAATAATTGTAAATTATTTAGCGAAGGCGTTGGTAATGTGCCAATAAAACTGAAAAATGAGAATAGCATAACAACAATTACAGATGCTATATTTGTACCTGGTATACATGTAAATTTATTGTCTGTAAGCAAGTTAGTTTCTAAAGGACTAGTTGTTGTGTTTGACTCTACTGGTTGTAGGATAATGAAAACCGAAAATTGTAAAATAGAAGGAACAATTTTTGCTGCAGCATCGAATGTAGCTGGTATTTATCGATTGAACATATCTGACGATGTTTCTAGTATTCCTAGTCAACCCTGTTTAGCTGTAAATAATGTAAATATTGATTCTCATGAGTTGTGGCACAAGCGCCTATGTCACTTGAATAGAAAGTCTATGAAACTATTAAAAAATGGCTTGGCAATTGGTATTTCTTTTTCCGATGATAATGGTAATGTCTGTATATCCTGCGCCGAAGGAAAGATGTCCAAGAAACCTTTCAGAAATAGAAATAAAAGAGCATCAGAGAAACTGGAACTTATTCATGCAGATCTTTGTGGGCCAATGCCTGTGCCGTCTTGGAGTGGAACAAATTATATGTTTACCCTGATAGACGACTGCACTAGAAAAATATTTGTCTATTTTTTAAAGACAAAAGATCAAGTTTGTTCAACTTTCAAAGAATTTAAAATAATGATTGAGAACCAAACGAACTGGAAGATCAAAAAATTAAGGACTGATAATGGTGGTGAGTTTGTCAATCATGCTTTGACTGAATACCTAAAGAATAATGGCATTTTGCATCAGTTGACTATACCGTACAATCCCCAGCAAAACGGGATTGCTGAACGAGTTAATAGAACTGTAATGGAAAAAGTTAGGTGTATGATGCAGGAAGCAAAGTGTGACAAAAGAATGTGGGCTGAGGCTGCAAATACAGCTGTTTACATTATAAATCGTTCACCACATAAATCACTTCCTAACATAACTGCTGAGGAAAAATGGACAGGTGAAAAAGTAAATTTAAGTCATCTGAGAGTTTTTGGATGTGTTGGTTACGTCCATATTCCAGATCAGAAGCGAAATAAGTTAGATGCTAAAAGCAAAAGAATGATTTTCGTTGGTTATGAAGAATCAGGGTATAGATTTCATGATTTGACCAACCCACAGAAAATCACAAGGGCCAGAGATGTTGTGTTTTTAGAACATGAGTTTGGGTTAATCCAAGAAAAAGGTGATATACCGAGTATAACTCATAATGTACCTAGTATACCCATTTACATAGATGAAAACGTTTCTGAACCTGTTATTTTAAAAGAAAATCTAACCCAAAATACTGGAAACTTATTTTGCGAAGGGGAACAAACCGAAGAAGAAGGAGAAGAAGAAAGGGAGTTAGAAATTACAACAGTTCAAGAAAAAAGATATCCAGTAAGAGAAAGACACAAGAAAAATTTTGATGATTATGTAACTTATTACACGGAAGCTGATGATATTGATGCTGAGCCTAATGAACCAGACAGTTTAGTAAATGCTAAGACAAGAGTCACTGGTTTTGTAGATGCTGATTGGGCCAATCAAGAAACAGATCGCCATTCTTACACAGGATTTGTTTTTAAATTAGGAAACGGACCAATATCTTGGGAAAGCAAGAAACAGATTACTGTCGCTCTTTCATCAACTGAGGTAGAGTACATGGCCTTAAGTGAGTCCTGCAAGGAGGCAATCCACTTAAGAGGTTTGGTTAAAGAGTTACTTGGCACTGAACATCAGATTCTTCTCTATTGCGATAATCAAAGTGCTTTAAAATTATCGCAGAATCCTGTTTTTCACAATAGAACGAAGCATATTGATGTTAGACATCACTTTGTTCGAGAAGTAGTTGAAAATAAATGGGTAGAAGTTAAATATATTCAATCCAATGAAATGGTTGCTGATATATTTACCAAAGGATTATCCAAACCTAAACATTTAAAATGTGTCAACGGGCTGGGGCTTCAAAGTTTTTATGGCTTATGATTAAGGGGAAGTGTTAGAGATTTCATGTTAATCTTTAAGCCTTAGTTATATTGTTTTTATGTACTGTTCGCTAGTTTTTGACTTTGATGTAATGTCGTAAAAAATAAAAAAGTTGTCAAAAGTAAAAACGGTGTATTTTTACATTCAAAAGTAAAGTCTTTGGATAACTGTGGCCTAAATACTTTCCAGCGATAGCGACTCTCCTACAGAAGTGACATTTGCTGTCAAAAGCTCGCAGTTTCTAATTGGTCGGATGATCTAAAACGATCTGACAACTCTGTATTTATTTTCACCATCTACTTTCTCCTCCCTTGGCTTTCACGTTATTTCAAGAATACCAATTTTTTGGGAAAGTGAAAATAAAGTGAATATATTCCCCGGGGAGTTTCAGTTTCTCTCGTTTTCAAGCATACGCACCCTGGGAACTTCATATTTCGCAAACATCCGTAATGAGAATTTTACGTAATAATAAATTCCATCCATACAAAGTAAGATTGGTTCAAGAGTTGTCAGATGACTATATTAATAGACGTGAAGAGTTTGCAAACATAATGATGGAAAAATGTTACAATCGAAACGATCCAAATTTTTTAAGTAATGTTATGTTTTGCAATGAGGCTACTTTTTGTATTAATGGAAACATAAATCGACAATATTCTAGATACTAATCACGTAACAATCCTCGTTGGATGCGTGAATCCCACAGCCAATATCCAAAAACCTAATGTATGGGCTGGAATAATAGGCGACAAAATAGTTGGTGCCTTTTTCATTGAAGGAAACTTAAATGGTCCGGCGTATGTAAAGTTATTGGAAAATAGTATAATATATGAGTTGGCTCGGATATTTCCAAATCCAAGTATTATCAGTTACAAATAAATGTAGAAATTTCATTTTTCGAAACCTTCAGACAATATCAGTATCCCAAACGACACTATTTCGATGCAACAAGATGGTGCTCTACCTCACTATTCGAGTGAAGTGAGACAATACCTAAATAATGTGTTTCCCAGAAGATGGATTGGAAGGCGAGATTTTATCGAATGATCCCCGCGATCACCAAACATAAACACTTTAGACTTATTTCCTGTGGTGTCACTTAAGAAACATCGTTTGTAAAAGAATACCTGCCAGTTTTCAGGAACTAAAAAATAGGATTACCACAGAAAGTAATAATAAATATAATAATACTCTCCCTAATTCACACCCTTACGAGTGAATTTTAACCCCAAAAGCTGAGTTTGCGCGGGGAAAGGGACGGCTATTATTATTATTTGCCGTGGCGCTCCGGGGCGACTTAAAGATGATTGATGGTGCCATTTGACTTACAGGTGAGGAAAACCCGGAAAACCTCACCCACCATCTTCAAGACGGTAATGTATGGCGATTTTTTATAATCTGCATGTCATATCAACAGAAGTTGAATTTCTATTAATACGGCACACATCAAATCCTATACCGAACCATGCAATTTAATTAAAAATCCATATGGTCTGGTCTGGGATTCGAAGCCCAGCAGTCTCTGACACATAAACTTATAAATGAATATAAGCGCGTTAGACCGCTACACCACCGACCCGACTAGTCAGGGATATTACAAAATTACAATATTACAAAAATGTATTAAAGTAAACGAACAATATTTTGAGAAACTGCTGTAATCGCTTTTACTTCATGTTTTGTACAGTTTCTAATTTTTCTATTACTACCATGTGGATCTGCTTTTAACATAACAAACATTTAAAGATTAGTTTTCAGATGCTGTAGGTTTTCTGCGCCATGATTTGGATATATCTTTTACTGCATTAGTTTCGTTAAACTTTTTTACACTGTTACGAGATTTCTGTCATGATATAGATTATATTAAAGATTATTTAATCATAACCCATCTAAATATATTATTTTAGTTCCCAAATTAGGGCATTTAGGTACAGGGAACATTACATCAAAAATAATCAGAAATTCTTAAGGATTTCAAAAAACAAAAAATAACAATGTTCATTTTATTTCCAGATAACATAACAAAACTTTTACCTAGCAAAGTATATAAAAATCGTGTAAGTCATTTCCGAGATAATTGAGGCCATACTTAAAACTCACTTTATGTATGTATCTCTTCGGAAACAAATCATGAGGAGCTAAATCAGGCGATCTAAGCGTTATTTCACATTATTTGACTACAACTATTTGTTAAGTACGAAGAATAACTAGTAAACATAACAACATCTACTTATTTAAAAATATTTAACTTACCACCATAGTAGCTAGCCAATCGTTTTCTGCAACGCTCAAAGCAATGGGCACTTGGTTTTTTAATAAATCGTATACAGGCGGAGTCGGTGTACCATATTCCTTTAAATTTTTTTCCGTTCCAAAATCGAACTGGCCAAAACGGTCTGTTTCGTAAAACTGTAGATAATGAGAGTACACTTCCACACCAGCAGTGTCTATTAATTGAGTAGCGAATTGTGGGTAAGTCAACTAAACATTTAAATAATGGTTATTTATGTACCAAGTCAACAAAGTGATTCTTTATCGAGAGAAGCAACAGGGGAGTTCGATAAAGACACTTTGCTGACGTGGTCCGTACAAACTTTTATCGCCAACCGTAAATAATTTAAATTATAGTCTATTTTTATGTATGAGAGAGTAATAAAACAGCATTTCTAATGCAAAACTTAGTACGGTCATTTTAAATATTTTTACAAAATAATCTAAATATTTCCTAAAATTGTAATAAATAATTATTGGTCCTTTATAAACATAAGCTGTACAGAACAATAGAAAAAGGTTTGGACAGGCCAAAAGCCCTGTGTATTAAAGATTACATAGCCGTATCTTTAGATTATTTTCAATAAGTACCTATTTGCCAATTTTATTTTATTTTAATTCCAAGAATTTCTTACAGTAATCGAATTATAAGTAGATAAAAACCTTCCCAACAAATTTCACCGAAAATGCGATTATAGGTTTTCCATTTAGTAAGGAGGTCCAAGATGTGTATTCTTGACAGTTTACTAAATGTCGTTTAGTTGCAACTTGCAAGGTGCAGTGTGAATTCTAGTGTGATCATGGAAAATTTGAAAGCGTCGCGTAAACGACAAAAAATCGGTCCTTTAACAGTTAATGAAAAAACATTAATATCTAATTGTTTTAAATCATTTACAGACAAACATTTATGTAAAAGTGTTGATAACACAGTGGAATTAGTTAGTAGTACGTTAGGTGTTGGGAAATCTACGATTTACAGAGTTGTTAAAGAAGAGAAATGTGGCGAGTTTCAAACAGCACGTAAAACTCCAAGAAAACTAAAATTTCAATTAGAAAATCTTTTGAAAGAAAGACGTTGAAGGAAAGTGCATGCGTTCTTCTTTAGAAAAGAATTTCCAACAGTAGACAAAGTTCTTGCCACGGTTCGAGATGATAAGGATTACCCTGAAATGAGATTTTAATAGAAAGAAGCGATATTGTAGTATGGAGAAGAAATTACCTAAGGACTATAAAAGAAATGAGAAACCAAAGAAGAAATATATTTTATTTAGATGAAACATGGATCAATGAGGGACATAAACCAAATAAATTTTGGCAAGATGAAACTGTTACAATTCGAAGACAGGCTTTTTTAAATAATTTATCTACTGGTTTAAATCTACCATCAGGAAAGGGGCGCAGACTAATAATAGTACACATCGGTAGTTCAAACGGTTTTGTTAAAGGTGGTTTATTGACTTTTGAATCTACTCGTACCGGTGACTAGCATGAGGACATGAATGCTGATGTCTTTAAAGAGGGGTTCGAACAAATTATAGATTTTCTTCCTCAGAACTGTATAATAGTAATGGATAATGCAAGTTATCACTCGAAAAAATGCCCACAACCAAGTGGTTAAAAAAATATTTACAGAATTGGCTAAATTCAAAGAATATTAAGTTCCATCCCGTTCTGTGAGAAAAGAACTGTATCATTTGTGTTCCCTTCATTAAGAGAAATTAAAAAAATATGAAATTGATGAAATTGCAAAAAATCGTGGGATGACGGTGGTTAGATCACCACCATATCATTGCGAAGTAAACCCGATTAAATTAATATGGGCACAGATAAAGGGAGAAAATAATTCTTTTAAAATAAGTGATGTTAAACAGTTGTTTTTGGAGGCTGTAAATAATGTGAAGCCTGAAAACTGGGAAAATGCAATAAATCATACGATTAAAGAAGAAGAGAAAATGTGGAAGTTGGACAATATTACTGATGAAATGATCGAGCCACTCATTGTAAATATTGGTTGCGACAGTTCATCTTCTGATTTCGATTCTGATTTGGATTTGTAGGTAAGAAGTAGTTTTTATATTAAAATTAATATTTAATGTTTAAAAGTCAAAGTTTAAACCCTTATACCTACATAACCCGTTTGACACAATGTTCTTAACATACCTTGTGGAAAAATAAAACATTTTAGAAAAAATTGCACTTTTTTACCTTCAGCTGTTTAGAAGTTATAAGCAGGTTAATTAGGTGAAAATATAAGCGTATACTCGAGGAATAACTTCAAAAAATATTTTAACTGTCTACTAAAAGAAGTGGTACGCCTATGGATTACGAACGCATTATCATTTTAATACTCTCTCATACATAAAAATAGACTATAGTAAAGAGATAATATAACATCATATTTTAGTATGACAAGGTAAATAGACAAAAAAATAACAACGAATACAAAACTATTCAATTACAGACTATTTATGTTAAACGTTCATGGATATGTTAATAAATATTAGCGTCACATAAAATATTTAGTTTTTACAGAGTGAAATCTGTTTGTTTACTTCCGTAAATCGCTATGGTAATGCATGACTTTATTGACGGTTGGCGATAAAATATATTAAATAACAATCGAGAATCAGTAATGTTATCAAAAATTTGAAATAATTATTATTAGTAAATCTTTGTAATAGAGTATAATATAATAAAAATAAATTAAAACGTACAGAGTGGTCCGTTAATAATGGAACACAGAGCAACTATGAATTCCTTGTATAAAAATAATGTGATATAACACAATTTACCTTTGTTCAATTCTTGATATTAACAAAGATACAGGATAAGTACCAGATAACTTAAACGGTGATTCCTATCTCAATTTTCTATGAACTGGATTCATTTACATATTAGGTGATTTGGCATTAATCGTGAGACACAACATGTGATTTAAGCAGGATGAAGGTACAGCACGACGGAACTATACATGCTATTTGGGAGAAGTTAACCAAGATCAATGAGGAAACCCTAACAGATGAGAGGGTGGCAATCCATCATATCACCAGCATCACTTTGGAGAATCTGCAAAAAATGACTGAGGCGATATTCCATAGGAAGAAAACCAGAGTGACTATGTATACCACGGCAAATAACCGGGAAACCAAGAAGGAAAGGACCACCTATAGAATGATCATTAGTGTCGGATAGAAATCCTATAAGGAGATACTAGGCAAGGTCAAAACCATTGTGGGCGCCAACTCATCGGCCGATACTATAAGAAGCAGAAGGAGTATCAAGGACGGTAAATTGCTTCTACCAATAGAAAAGAACGAAACGGCCCTTACAAACATACATATGGCCTTGAAGGAGACTAAGACTTGACAAAAACACCGCTATAAAATAAGAGGGTTAGAGGCAGATACTATTATAGTTGATATAAAACATGTGGTCACGGAAATCACAGACAAATGAGATGAAAAAAACAAACTACGCAAACTCCGTCCCCTTAGCAACGACACCCTAGTGGCAATATTGATACTGAAGTCCAACCAAGCTGGAGGAATTATGGAAGAATGCTTTCTCTGGGTAGTTCCGGTGAAATGCAGAATCGAGAAAATACTAAACATACAGAAATTCCAAAGATGCTGGTCACATGACCACTATACTGATAAATGCGGGTGGCCAGACCACTCAAAGAATTGTTTTAAATGTCGAATGAGCAAACAAAGCTCAAAAGACTTCAACAACGATGATGCGTGTCCGCTATATAACGAAAAAGACCACAATATGGACACATTAAAGTGTCCGAAGTTCAAAACAGCTCTGAAACTGGCCAGACTGAAGAAAAATAAACAAAACTCCATTCACATCTCACGGGGAAAATAAAACAGATACTACCAAAGTAGCCGCGACCCCAAACCTGGATGATATACTCATAGACGAAGATATGGAGTTTAATAAAATGCATGGGGAGGCCTGCGCCACCGCTAACGCACTGGGCAAGGCTTCATTGTCAACACAATTTACTGTTTAGAATACATCAAGAAGTTTAGTTCAACCACCGAAAGAAGTTAACGAGATTTCACTTTACCTTTGAAAATGTAACAAGAAGGCATCTACAGTCACTCCTTAAGTGTTACCTCGATTCCACAGATAAGTTATTAATAAATCATTTAAATTTGAATAATTAAGTCTCTGTCAAGTTTAGAAAGTTTAAATATAGTGGCGTCCAACATTCTTTTTCAAAGTAATACGAGTTTAATAACCTGACCCACTCCCCAAAATCATAGAGCTTAAAACACTATAAAAATAGATAAAATAATAAGATCATATTACAATGTCTACAGGAGACAGCTTAAAAACGAACGAACGAACATCCCCCTGAACAATGACACGTGATCGAAGAGAAACACAAATTAGCCAAAAAGGATTACAGAAGAGAAACATGTCAAAGAAGAAAAAAGAAGAGACCTATGTGCAGAGCTAGAGGAGGACGTATGGGGTAAAGGATATAAAATCGCTACCAGACACATAAGAAATCAAAATCAAACCTACAAGTTACCAAACCCAAAAAAAGGATATTAATTAACTAATTCTTCCTAGATTTAAATGATAAAAGGCAAGCCTGGAAGATTACACAGAATTACGACACATTCTCAATCGAAGAATTAAATGGAACATCACCAGGACCAGATAACATTACCCCGGAAACCATAAAATCGGCCACCAGAGTGATTCCACAAGAATTTCTAGAGATACACAACCACATAGCTAAAATTCAGATATTCTCGTTAGCCTGGAAAAAAGCAAGGGTGTCCCTTATCCCAAAAGGAACAGTAAAGGATCTTAAGTACCGACCGATCTGAATCTTGGATGTTTAAGGTAAACTCTTGAAACACTTGGTCAAAATAAAACTCGACGATTACCTGGAACTTTTGTAATCTCAATACGGATTTCGTAAAGGGAAATTAACGGTGGAAGCCATAATCGGGGACTGCAAGTATCATTGGCAGACGATTATCTGTATCGACGTGAAAAACGCGTTTAACACTGCATATAAACCTTGAAAAGCTATAGAGAAAGAAATTCCAGAATGGTTAGTGAACATAGTCAGGAGCTACTTTGAAGACATACACATCTTCGTAGAAGGATATAGTAAAAAAATGTCTCAGAGTGTTCCACTGGAATGTCATCTACGACGAGGTACTGTGTATGAAACTCTCCCCAAGCTGTGAAACTGTCGCCTACGCCGACGATCTCACCTTGATCGTAAGAGCAGGTTCTAAATATGGTCTCATTAAAAAATAGAAATATGATCATGGACTGGATGGAAAAAACCACCTATCAATAGCACACCAGAAAACCGAAGCACTTATATTCAAAGAACTCAGAAATAGAGGAGGAATTAACTTCAATACAAGAAATACTGAGATAATCCTCAATAAAAGTACCAGATGTCTAGGAATATATATCTTTAATGAGCACACATTCAAAACAATTCAGAAAACTGAAAATCTTACTCTGGGACTCATACATGAGAATAGAGAGATACTAAGCGATGTGGTATTATATTCGGTCCTACTTTACGGAATCATAAATGTCAAGCTATACAACATCAAACTTCAAGGACTTCAGGGGAGAATGATAATCAAGGTGTGATACAGCAAACGTTATCTCTAGGATAACACTGTTCCGATTGATGCTACAAAAAATAGTCAGGCTGCACGCTAGAAAAAGAAGGAGAGAACAAATTACCGAGATAATCAGGATGGAAGAGAAGCAACGAACTATAGCGTTATGGCAAAATGTATGGAACGATACTGTACAAGTTGGGCAATGGACCAAAATACTTATTTTACGTGCAACTATCATAGAACATATTTTTTATATCACACAGTTCCTCAGTGGACACGGGCATATACTTTCAGGATGGGCAAATCTACTGATCCAAATTGTATCTATTGTGGACAAGAAGACACGCCTGAGCATACCATTTTTAGGTACACACGATAAAGAAAAGAACGAAATGGCATAGATAAAATGAATGACGTAACCGCACCGAGCATAGTGGAAGCAATGATAGAGAGTAGAGAGAAATGGTAAAAGATAGGAAACCTTATCAAAAAGATAATGAAGAGAAAAGCAGAAATACTACCAGGAAATAGGGGTAACTTAGAAAAGCGGTCAGAATTATCTGACAAAATAGTTGGAAGATTGGTCCCGGAGCATTCCACAAAGGTCTTTGGAAAAGATAGAGTTTGAGTAGGTAGTATGTACATGAGAGCCCTACACTGTCCTTGTCCTACACAGGAGGTGCGTATAAGCATTTCTCCACAAAAAAAAAGGATCGCGTCCCACCTCATTACAGTAAAACAGTACGAAATTGCCTTGATAATGAATTTCCACGACATTGGATCAGCCGAGGTAGCCAATATGCTTGGTTAACACGTAGTTCAGACCATAACCCTATATTTGTTAAAGTAGTAATAGCACTTTATAAATGTGGAGTATATTATATTGAAAGCTGTTAAAATTATAAAAATAATTCAATAAAAAAAATTACTTTAGCTACTCTGTCTCTTTTTTATTATTAAGAATTGAAGTAAGGTAAAATGCATAGTTAGCTGTGTGTTCCATTATTAACGGACCACTCTGTAGATCTTGACAAAATACAGAGCGGTATTGAAATACATGTATTAAAAGTGACAAAAGTGTATGGTGTCCAAAGACAAATGCAACTATTTTAGCTTTAAATTCTAAAATTTATATCGTTTATTTTTTAATTGTTATTGGGGTTTATGGAGCCGCTGATTTTGAATGTAATATTAAAAACTAGAAATACAAAATGGCTGTTCAAATATGGTGCCCGAAAATAATAAAAATAGCATGTTTTCGATCAAAATGAAACCTGAAGGGTTTTTAAGAGGTTTTTGGGATCGCTCATTTTGAATATCACATTAAAAGTTAGAAATACAAAATTGCGGATCCATTATGGCGACCAAAAATATTAAAAATTATATAAAAATAAAAAATGGAGGTTATCTAAAGAGTTTTTGAGATTACTGATTTTGAATATGTTATTAAAAATTAGAAATACAAAATGGCAGATCCAATAAGGCCCCCGATAATATTAAAAATTGATAATTTTGTATAAAAATGAAACGGGATGGGGTTGGGGTTTTTGAGGTCGCCAATTTTGAGTATGACTTTAAAATAAAAAATATAAACTTGCTTATTTAAAATGGCGGCCAACAAAATAAACCCCGCACACCGCTTTGGAAAAGTGACGATCTGTTAAATGTCAAAAATTTTTGATGTTTCAGTTCTTGACCTCTTAAATAATAGTGTCCATGAGACTAGTTTTATGACATTTATGACATAAATGACATTTATAACATTTATGACATTTATGACATTTATGACATTTATGACATTTATGACATTTATGACATTTATGACATTTATGACATTTATGACATTTATGACATTTATGACATTTATGACATTTATGACATTTATGACATTTATGACATTTATGACATTTATGACATTTATGACATTTATGACATTTATGACATTTATGACATTTATGACATTTATGACATTTATGACATTTATGACATTTATGACATTTATGACATTTATGACATTTATGACATTTATGACATTTATGACATTTATGACATTTATGACATTTATGACATTTATGACATTTATGACATTTATGACATTTATGACATTTATGACATTTATGACATTTATGACATTTATGACATTTATGACATTTATGACATTTATGACATTTATGACATTTATGACATTTATGACATTTATGACATTTATGACATTTATGACATTTATGACATTTATGACATTTATGACATTTATGACATTTATGACATTTATGACATTTATGACATTTATGACATTTATGACATTTATGACATTTATGACATTTATGACATTTATGACATTTATGACATTTATGACATTTATGACATTTATGACATTTATGACATTTATGACATTTATGACATTTATGACATTTATGACATTTATGACATTTATGACATTTATGACATTTATGACATTTATGACATTTATGACATTTATGACATTTATGACATTTATGACATTTATGACATTTATGACATTTATGACATTTATGACATTTATGACATTTATGACATTTATGACATTTATGACATTTATGACATTTATGACATTTATGACATTTATGACATTTATGACATTTATGACATTTATGACATTTATGACATTTATGACATTTATGACATTTATGACATTTATGACATTTATGACATTTATGACATTTATGACATTTATGACATTTATGACATTTATGACATTTATGACATTTATGACATTTATGACATTTATGACATTTATGACATTTATGACATTTATGACATTTATGACATTTATGACATTTATGACATTTATGACATTTATGACATTTATGACATTTATGACATTTATGACATTTATGACATTTATGACATTTATGACATTTATGACATTTATGACATTTATGACATTTATGACATTTATGACATTTATGACATTTATGACATTTATGACATTTATGACATTTATGACATTTATGACATTTATGACATTTATGACATTTATGACATTTATGACATTTATGACATTTATGACATTTATGACATTTATGACATTTATGACATTTATGACATTTATGACATTTATGACATTTATGACATTTATGACATTTATGACATTTATGACATTTATGACATTTATGACATTTATGACATTTATGACATTTATGACATTTATGACATTTATGACATTTATGACATTTATGACATTTATGACATTTGACATTTATTAGGTCGCCACTTTTCCATAAACGGTGTGCGAGGTCTTTTAAAAAATATCGATCAAGACTTGTAATTGAAATTTTTAACCAAAATCTCACTTTTTTTAAAGGCACCTATTGAGGGCAAATTGATTGATAACCAATTGTATTTCTAATCGGATAATTTGCACCATGCATCACTTATAACTTTATTTTTCAAATCATGGCCTACTATAAAAAATAAAATAGTATTTTGATCTATACGTTTAAACTTTTTTTACACAATATAATAATTATTTTTTAGTTATGTAAGGTAAAGTTTTTAAATTATTTTAACTTACTGCATCAATTTGTTCAAAATCATCGCCAAAAATGAGGTTAGCAAATGACTGTATCATATATATTCCACTAGAAAATCGTACTAATGGTCTTAAAAACAGTGAATAACCAGGTAGAATTTCACCATTCCAAAATCTATAAATGAGACTCTGCAAGAAAATATACAATAAAATGTTTTATACATTAGAAACTTAGGAAAGTGAGACATTTTATGAAAGACAGGTTTTACAGGGTGGACCAAGTGGAAAAGTTCGATATCTTCCTTGTTGAAAGAGATATTAAAAAAGTGTATTAACCCTTTATTGAAAAAACGATTAATTGTCATTGTCTCTGTAAAAATATCAACTTTTAACGATTTATCCCAATACATACGCAGTCTTGGAAATTTTATACATCCTGTTAGAATACTTAGGCCGAAAAAAGCTTTTATTTCTTGCAGGTTACATGGTACAAATTTCTCAGTTCCCGTTTGAAAAGCGTACATATTTGTGTATTGAACTATATCTTCAAATAAACTTTCGGGAAAATATCTCAGAAAATATGTAACTGGATATTCCTCAGAACAGTTTTCATTGGAATTCTGGGATATTTTAATTTGTAAATCTCTTGTTACATATTGCACATTCTGTAACCATTTTACATTTTTTTTCAGAGTAATAAAGTCATCATAGTTATATTCTTCTTCATCCTGTTCTTCACCATCCTCTATTTCTTCCTCATTGTCTCCCTTGTTTAGTTGTTCTGAGACATTATTTATTATTTGTCCAATTCTCTGCCTTACTTGGATCTCTTCTTCATTGTCACTGTCATCACTAGAAAAACCTTCTACGTCAGACACCCCTTTTTGTAACTCCTCTAGCAGTTCCTTCTCCGTTAAACTTTTTTTTTTGAGGCATTTTACCCTGAAAATAATTATAACACTTAGTCATTTTGGGTACAACTGTACCCATCGAATTTGATGGACAGTTTTCTATTTGAGAAAGTAAAATTTTAGTAAAATATTTTTACAATTAGTAAGAACCAGCACTATTTTCAATATTACACAAGAATACAAACTGCGATTGACTTTTATTCAAACTGATATATCAAGATAAAAGTATACTTACCTATTACCAACAAAGCAGCTGCAACCACATTACTTTTGACATTAATTTTCATTCAACTTTTGAAGGGCTATTGCGCCATCTACATACAAAACACATAAGTATAGTACCTATAGAATATAGATTTCATTAGAATGGTTTTATTTACAGATTCCTGTAAAATTATAGATGCATTAATTTCAATGTGTACAATAAAATTGTACCCAACATGAATGAAAGGGTTAAGAAAATTACAACCAGGTTTGAGGTTAACATTTTAAAATTATTGGGAGGTATACAGGGTGTTGCATAGCTCGTGTACGAACCAAACATATGTTTTTATTATTGATAACCCCAGTATATTATTTTAGATTCTGTTAACTCATCTTTTTTCCATTCTTCTAATATATAGTTTGTCTATGTTATATAGGGTACTTTTCAAGGAATTGACATTTTTGTGAGAGAATCGTACATAATTCAACGTCCAGCAGCCAATTACACACTAGAAAAAAAATTTTTTTACCCACACGAATTTTGTAATATGATGTATTTTACTTTTTTTTAGTTATATTTTTATTATCTGTTTACTCGTATACAGGGAGACTCAATACTCAGACCCTTGATTTTCTTGTTTTATTTAAATGGGACACCTTATATTTTATATCACCAGTAAAATCATCTGTCCCAAGTCTTTCATTTTTATTAGGCATTTCCTAGACCTATAGTTAATGTTTATTGATATTTTTTAACAATATATGAAAATTATGGTTATTTCGATAAATTAAACTAGTTTTTCATAAAATACTCTTTATAAACAATAATAAATAATATGTGTGAATACAAAAAAAAGTTATTCAAAGTGACCTCCCATAATACAGTTTTGTAATCGAATTTCGAATGACTGACTCACATTTCTCAGCATTTGAACATCAATACTTTGAAATACATTTCTGAGTCGAGTTTTCATGTCCTCTTTTGTCGTTGGAAGCACATTATATACTTTGTTTTTTACATAACCCCAGAGAAAAAAATCAATATTTGTCAAATCCGGTGATCGCGCTGGCCACCGTATCGGTCCTCCTCTTCCGATCCACCGTCTTGGAAAGTGATTATTTAAATAATTATGAATTACTACAGTGTGATGGACTGGTCCACCATCGTGCAAAAACCACATTTGTTGGCGAATATGAAGGGGAACATCTTCGAGTAACGTAGGCAAATGATTTTCAAAGAAATCCAAATATACATATAAGTAGATAGGCAAAGCAGACACGGCCCCACATAGGGAATTCAATGTGTAAGAGTGAGAGGTACATATTCAGTAGGTAAGAGTAAAACAGCCGGTCAGAGGAGAAAACAGGGTAATGTGGGGAGTGGGGAATTAAATTTCTTTTAACGTCGAACAGAAAAATCCTGCGCAGAACGAAAATCCAGAAGGGCCTTAGCACGTATCTTCACTACTATTGGTCCGATTCAAACGGGAAAAACAGTATTATGTAGAGAACGTGGTATAGATTAACGTTCAACAGAAAAATCCTACGCAGAGCGAAAATCCAGAAGGGCCTTAGCGTGTATCTCAGCTATTGTTGGTCCAATCCAAACGGGAAAAACGGAATTATGTAGAGAACAGGGGATTGATTAACGTTAAATAGAATTTTTGCGCAGAACGAAAATCCAGAAGGGCCTTAGGACGTATCTTTACGGCTATTGGTCCGATCCAAACGGGAAAAACGGCATTATGTAGAGAACGTGGTATAGATTAACGTAGAAGATAAAAATCCTGCGCAGAACGAAAATCCAGAAGAGCCTTAGCGTGTATCTCAACTATTGTTGGTCCGATAAAAAACGGGAAAAACGGCATTATGTAGAGAACAAGGTATAGATTAACGTAGAAGAGAAAAATCCTGCGCAGAACGAAAATCCAGAAGGGCCTTAGCACGTATCTTCACGACTATTGGTCCGATCCAAACGGGAAAAACGGCATTACGTAGAGAACGTGGTATTTATTAACGTAGAAGAGAAAAAATCCTGCGCAGAACGAAAATCCAGAAGGGCCTTAGCGTGTATCTCAGCTATTGTTGGTCCGATCCAAACGGGAAAAACGGAATTATGTTGAGAACGAGGTATACATTAACGTCGAAGAGAATTTTTGCGCAGAACGAAAATCTAGAAGGGCCTTAGCGTGCATCTTCACGGCTATTAGTCCGATCCAAACGGGAAAAACGGCATTATGTAGAACACGTGGTATAGATTAATGTAGAAGAGAATTTTTGTGCAGAACGAAAAGCCAGAATGGCCTTAGCACGTATCACGTGGTCCGATTCAAACAGGAAAAACGCTATTATGTAGAGAATGTAGATAGATTAAAGTAGAAGAGAATTTTTGCGCAGAACGAAAATCCGGAAGGGCCTTAGCATGTATCACGTGGTTTGATTCAAACGGGAAAAACAGCATTATGTAGATAACTAGAAAACGTCGAATAGAAAAAACATGTGTAAAGCCAGAATGGCCTTATCGTGTATCACGTGGTCCGATTCAAACGGAAAAAATGGCATTATGTAGGGAACGATTAACAGAGAAAAATCCTACGCAATACCAAAAGTTAGGGAACTAAGAAGAGATTAACGAAGATAAAAGTTTTACCAAATTTAAATCTTTGGGAGCACCCTAATCAGTATCCGATGCAAATATATCCATCCTAAAAGATCATAGACAAAATGGGAATTGATATTAAATAATAATAATAATAATAATAATAACATTCTGTATCATACATTTATAACATTTTAAACAACACATACACCGATAACAAACCATATTTGTTGAAAGTATAAAATTGATAAAATATTCCACGCCGCAATTGTGAAAGTTAGAATTTTGAAAAGAAAATTATCAAATCGCTGAACCAAATTTACAGAAAACGCATATCTATACCACGTTCTCTATATAATGCCGTTTTTCCCGTTTGAATCGGACCAATAGCAGTGAAGATACGTGCTAAGGCCCTCCTGGATTTTCGTTCTGCGCAGGATTTTTCTGTTCGACGTTAAAAGAAATTTAATTGCCCACTCTCCCCCACTACCCCGTTTTTTCCTCAGACCGGCTGTCTCACTCTTACCTACTGAATATGTACCTCTCACTCTTACACATTGAATTCCATATGTGTCTGCTTTGTCTATCTACTCATATATACAAATATATTCACAAAATATATTTTCAAAATCCCGTTCAAGAAGTTCTTGATGTAACTGGATATGGAAAGGATGTATTTTATGTTTTGATAGGATTCTTTGTACAGTTCCGCAACTGACTTGTTGTTGTCTTAAAATATTTCGTTTACTAATATGCGGATCACCATAAATACTCAACAATACTTTTATTTCATTCTCTTCCGTGATAGCAGTTTTTGTTACTTGTTTTTGCTCGTATGATACAGTACCAGTACGATTAAAAAGGTCCATTAGTTTTTCAAACGCCTTTTTATTTGGTTTCCGGCGTTCCGGATATCGTTGGTGGTACACTCTGGAAGCAAGTAAAGAATTCTTGTTGCACTCACCTATAGTCTATTTTTAGGTATGAGAGAGTAATAAAACAGCATTTCTAATGCAAAACGTAGTACGGACATTTTAAATATTTTTACAGAATAATCTAAATATTTCCTAAAATTGTAATAAATGTACCTGAGCTATTACAAGGTTTGGGTCTTTTATTGGTCCTTTATAAACATAAGCTGTACAGAACAATAGAAAAAGGTTTGGACAGGCCAAAGGCCCTGTGCATTAAAGATTTCATTGCCGTATCTTAATACTATTTTCAATAAGTACCCATTTGCCAATTTTGTTTTATTTTAATTCCAAGAATTTCTTACAGTAATCGAATTATAAGTAGATAAATACCTTCCCAACAAATTTCACCGAAACTACGATTATAGGTTTTTCATTAAGTAAGGAGGTCCAGTTGTGTATTCTTGACAGTTTAGTTGCAACTTGTAAGGTGCAGTGTGAATTCTAGTGTGATCATGGAAAATTTGGAAGGGCCGCGTAAACGACAAAAAATCGGTCCTTTAA